AGGCAGCTGTTCACATACCTAACCAATTTATATTGTGCATTTTAAACATACATTATGTAAGAACTAAACCTGTCTATTGCAGTTTTGTTTTCATTCTTTCACATGACAATTTAAAGGTAATAAACATTTTTAAATGGGTCATAACAGACGCGTCGTTTAAAAAAACACTCGAGACTTTGTTTATTATCTTAGCAATGATACTTGACTATGTAACCTATATCTAATCAAAACTTGAAACACTTATAACTTCACTAAAAATAAAGTAATTTGACTGAAATATCAAATATATTCATTTTTCATTATCTATGTTTGGAACTATTACAGCAAGAACTGACAGCTCTTTATCTTAATCTTACATAATGCATGTCCAATAAAGCACAATGAACATAATAAATCTCTAATAATGTATAATGAACATTGTTTACATAATGAACATAATAAATCTCTAATAAAGCATAATGAACATTGTTTACATTATGCATCGTTAATAATGAACATTGTTTACCCATTGTGTTGTTTCTCACTGCCTCTTGATTTACGTAACAGTTGGTCGTCTCGTCATCATCACCACTTACATACAGTTCATTCTCCAGTATTTCTGATATACAATAATATTAGTATTTTATTTCTGATATATTCAATACAAAAATTAAATATATATTATAAACTTTTAATACAATAAATGACCAGAATATATTCAGGGTAACATTTGCTATATGATACAATGATTGTAAAGGTTCCAATCGGTTGGGTATTAGGACGATGACACAGTTCTTAAGGGCAAAGAACATATTTTCAAAACTAATTAGAATGCGATTTACAGTATAAAATCTATTATAACATACCCATTTGATTATTGTCTCTGTGATCAACTTTATCTGGTGTAGGATCATCATCAGCACTAATATACAGATCATTCTCCATTATTTCTGGTAAATAAACAACAACAAAATATAGATCATTATTTCTGGTAAATAAAAAACAACAATATATATATATATATTCATAAGTAAACAGAGGCTTTTATATTACAGCTATGAAACAGATTGTGTCAGAATATTTCAATTTTAACTGATTACCATGTTGGTTATTTTGTCTACCTCGCACTCCTCCACGAACCACGCCTACTCCAAGAATAGGAATAGAACAATAGAACAATAACGTACCTATTCCTAACCCTTAAAATAACGAAGCCATGGAAGTTCGAGTATTTTGTTTTATGAAAAGTTAATAATGAAATATTTAGTTTTTTTTACCCATATTCTGTTGTCGTTTCATCTGTTGTTTATTTTGTATAACTTGTTTATTGCCATATAACTGGTCGACTGTAAAAACATGTAATATAGATTGACTGATTACAATATGACCATTAATTATACACTGAACATAATAACCTTTAAAGTGGAAATAACACTTCTGTGATTTCCTGCAATCTCCGGTGATCTACGTCAGTCGGTAAGAAAATATTTTTCAATCCGCTGTTCATTAAATAAGAAATGAAATGTAATGGGGTTAATCGTTACACTTTTCTACACTGACTGGGTCAAGGAAGACGGGCCAACGCCATACAGTGTACAATAGGGAGATACTGCCCGGACAGCGACACTGTGGCATAATCGTATTTCAAATTTCAACTATCAAGAGTTGTTTTACACGCATACTCATGGATACGCGGGACTCTGGTTGTTCGTACCATTCGCACAACTAGACACTGGCCTCCACTGCTAACAAGGAGAAATCGTGACCGAAAATCCGAGGATATTTCTCAGCCATCACCATGATCTAACCCGAGATCTTCTGGTTAGCCAGTCTGAACCCTAATAAAGATTTCATTCTTCTTGTTATTATTATTACCCACAGAGTCAACGCGGGTTCCCAGTCATTAAATAAGTAAAGAGCGTAATAATTTCAATCACGCTATACTTACTGTCCACTTGACCTGGCTCATACGTGGGATTCTTGAATTTGAAACTGCTCGGGGTATTTTGCCTGAAATACAATGTAAGACATAACTTTGCGTCCTCTCGAAGATAAACTTAATATTTTTAGAGATACAGTAAAATGCACAATCAGTCATTCTGGGATATAAAATCCGCAATAGGTCATTCAATATAGGATATAAAACCAAATTGGGTATAATATAAAATGCGCAGTGAGTCATTACATATAAAATTGGGTATAAAATACACAATCAGTCATTATAAGATATAAAACTAAAGATTTGTGGTTTAGCCCGCTGTATTCATGCTTTATAAAGATGTATTGTTTAGTCCGCTGTATTCATGTTTTATAAAGATTAATGGGTTAGTTTTCTATATTCATGCTTTATAAAGATTAATGGGATTTCTGTATTCACGCTTTATACGGATTTATGGGTTAGTTAGCTGTATTCATGTTTTATAAGATTTATGGGTTAGTAAGCTGTATTCATGTTTTATAAGATTTATGGGTTTGTTAGCTGTATTCATGCTTTATAAAGTTGCGATGTTTAGTTAGCTGTATTCATGCTTTTTAAAAAATTAACTTAAAGGCAAATAGAAAATAATCAAATTACGGATAAATAAAACTAACCGTGTTGATTCAGAATTCACTGTAAACAGATAAATAAATAAGATACAGTACTAAAATCCTAAATGACAAATTAGTGTAATAGCACATGGTCTCTACCCCACGATTCCTGGAATTTATACTAGTATTTAGTTGTCTGATTGGCTTAGTAAATCATATTACATCAACATTCATCGCCTGGTGTAATGTTAACACCAGTCGTGGTCACGTTTATTTGCCTACGTAAAGCCGATGATTGTCATTAGCATTTCGGTTTTATCAACGTTAGAATGTACCCAAATTAGTTGTCTAACACTTAAAGATGTATTATGTTAGATTTAGATAAAGAGCCGCACCGTCTCGCAATAATGGGCTAAAAATAGAATAATGAATAGGCAATTAAAATATATTGAAATTTTCATTCAAATTTCTTTATTCTGAGCAAAGTAATGAATGGTCAGGTCTCCATTTTCATTGTTACCGTTGTTACCATAATAAACAAAATCTCGATTATCGATTTTTTAATTTAAATTAAATTATTAAATGTGGATCGTGTTTCAAGCCATTACCAATCAACACCATCCAATGTTCGAGAGAGTTGATTAAGGGCTTGGCATGTGAATAAATATCTAGATAATAGTTTATATCACATTTGAGGCAATAAATAGATTTAGATCTTACATTAATCCATCTTTAATAAATAACGATCTTAATTCATCTTAAGTCTACACGCGAATCATATCAGGTTAATGGGTTACATGTTGTGTGTATTTCCTGGGTTCTTTTCACCTAGAAAGTACTTGTATACTATTTACGAGTCGCTGTTCCCCTCGCCCTCCCGCGCACCTCTGTTCAAGAAACCGTTATAATACACAAACTAATGAACGTAACTCATTACTAAAATTGTACTATTGGTGATAAGGATACTCATAATTTCCCGATTGATTGTAATGTTAATTACATGTCATATCTAATATACAGCAGCAAAGAGCTGAAGATGCCCCGGTTATCAGAACAAAATACGACGGGGGTTTGTTGTTTTCTCCTAATCGACGTGTAGAAACTGTTTTAATCAGTTCTAGATTTTACATATAAAGCAACTAATGGTAATGCCAAATAAGTCAAACCAGGGAAATAATATCCTTAAAGGGACAATAACACTCTTGCTGGCTTGAAAGCTCCAGAAAATAAATAATATCTCTATCTAAGTACTAGATGTTTAAGTGTCCTACCTGTTGTGTAAATTATCCATTACATCCTATTTTACTTGTCCAGAGGGTTCGAAAATATTTTTAAATCGAAGTTTCATTTGAAAAGGTTTACGTTAGACGTTTCAAACCATTATGTTGAATTTTTCAAATATTTTGAATAAGGTGTGTTAAGTTGAAATTTGTATCATCAATTAATTGAAATATTCTAAAATAGTACAATTTGTTGCCCAGAATAAAGATTGGGACATATTATTCAGTTACAACAAGAGTGGTATTGAGCCTTTAATTGTAAGTGAATAATGTGATTGAGATAATTGTATAAAATCGATTAAAGAAGGTAGAAACTTACAGTTTTTATTGTTAGATCCTTTTCTGACCAGCACTATTATCAAAACAATTAAACCAATCAGAACAACAGCACCAACTACTCCTCCTGCTATCACGGGAACGTTGACTGGCAACTCTTCATTTAATGATATTGGACTATTACCACTCACTGTAACATATATATTAATCATAAACTATTAGTTTAGTTTATATGAATACAATGTCTCGTACACCTTTCTGGCATCATCTATAATTAATGAATGAATAAAATCAGGTTAAACGTCCTACTTTTCTGGACCAACCGGGATAATAAAGACCGCTATATACCACACAATGTGCTATAACGATAGTTTGCCCGGACGGCAGTTGAATTCCAACTGCCATGGGTTCCAACGTGGACCTCGGTTTTCGTACAATCTAAACAGCCCACTGTCCTTGTCAGGCACTCCATAATGCATTTAATCTGTAATTAAATAATATATAAATAAGTTACCTGTTACGTGTTGGTAAGAATCTGTACAACCATACTGAGTACATACAGTTACAGTAACAGTTATATCCGCCATCTCACTAATTGTTACAATGCCTGATATAATTGTAACGTTCTTATTTATTACAGTGCCATATATATTTACTGATCTGATGCCATGTTCAGCATTTCTATCAATTGGTATTTCAGTCATAGAACTGTTTTGTTGTTGTTGTTGATACCACGTGGTGTTATAAACATTCCCACCAATTATAAACAGATTTGTATAGCATCCCAATACCGATATTAGAAGCTTAAAAAGTCGACTCTACCTTATATATTGATGTATGTTTCATCTGTTTGATAAACCTACAATCTATATTGATGTATGTTTGATAAACCTACCGTCTATATTGATGTATGTTTCATCTGTTTGATAAACCTACCTTCTATATTGATATATGTTACATCTGTTTGATAAACTGAACCTCTAAAATCCTTAATACCATTACTAGCATTACAGACATAAGTTCCTTCGTTTAATTTTGTGTTATTTAAAACTAGAGCTGTTCTATCTTCTGTTACCACTCCCTCTAGTTCTCTCACAAACTGACCATCAATGTAATGTGTCCAGTTACTCATGGTAAAATTAGTAGGGTAGCCGTCCACCACTCGACAAATCAGTTCAACGGCTTCTGATGTATCATTAACAGTTATATTTAAACTAAGAGGATCTGAAAATACAAAATGACATTTAAAGTATAACCCATAATAATGATAGTGATATGGAACTAGACTAATCTAGACATCAAAAGGTGTAAGATTCTCATATCATATTCTTCAGAAAAAAAAATCATTTCTATTGCAATTAGTGGTGACTTAAGCCGTTTTTGTTCATTTACTTACATTGTATGTGTATACACATGACATCAATACTAGTACAGTATTGTTATACTTACATTGTATGTGTATGTATGTGACGTCACTATTAGTACAGTATTGTTATAGTGTATCTGTATATATGTGACATCACTATTAGTACAATATTGTTATACACTGTATCTGTAAATACGTGACGTCACTACTAGTACACTATGGTCCTATAGATGCAGTATACGTGATATTACTACATGTACAGTAGAGTATTGTTGTATTGTATGTATATATTACTACTAGTACAATATTGTTATAATTACATTGTAGCCGTATATACTTGACATCACTACTAAAACTGTTACATCACTACTAGTACAATATTGTTATACTTACATTGTATCTGTATATTCGTGACATCACTGCTAGTACAATATGATCCTATAGATGCAGAACAAATGTACATAGCCCCGTCTAATCTTGTTATATTTGATTTATCATAAACTGATCCATTGTATGTTTCATCTTTATCTCCATAAATCTTCCATTGGTAGGTTATTTCATTGTTTGTATGATTACTAGAAACAATGGATGCCGAACAGTTTAAATAAAGATCATCACCTTCAGATAAAACCAGTTTATTATCATCTTGATTACCAACGTCTGGATCACCGGGTTTATTACCATCTTGACTACCAACTTCTGGATCACCGGGTTTATTACCATCTTGACTACCAACGTCTGGATCACCGGGTTTATTACCACCTTGACTACCAACTTTTGGATCACCGGATTTATTGTATCTAATATTCGTTGTTAATTCACACAGCGGTGGATCTGTAAATAAAAGATAAAATTATCTTGTGTTAAATCGCTAGTTTGGTCGCCTGTTCATGTAGAATCGTTCCAAATAAGTTTGATTAGAAATGAACTTTATTAAAACTCTACAATTAAACCCTACTGAATCCATGTCTGTTTAAAACTATCCACGCGTTGACATACAATATTACACTTGATTGGTGATTGATATTAGCCTTGTGTAGTATCTGAATCAATTACTGCACGTAGGAAACAGGTCATAATGATACACCCCCACCCTCATTCCCTTCAATAGTGTTATTAGATAAATTAGGTTATTGGTGGCTTTAGAGATTCGGATCATCGGAACCATCAGAATAAGCTATAGGCGAAGAAATGTCATAAATTTGACATTACTAGTCTGTATACGGATTTATGTATGGTCTAGTTCCCGAAGGGAATATTTTCGGGAAAATGAAGAATGGGGCCTCTGCTGGTACGCTTCAGTGTGGAGATTGTCTTACTGCCCTTTGTCATAAACTGTGTGCAGTATATGTAAAAGGTCAAGATAGTTTAAGAAAACAATTATTACATATTAACATGTACGGGTAAGGTAGCATAGTTTTTATTTGATGCTGTATCAGCTGACGACTATAATGGATCAAGGATAGACTACCGTCTCCGGCTTGTGGATAATTCATATAGCTAAGAATTCATGTTTTATATTAGTGATATTAAAATGATTATACCTATCTTGACAGGTAGAGTATATTGATAACTTCCCCCGTAACTATTTCTACAGAACCATATAGTGTCAGAATCTCTCGTCTTGTTGATGTTGTAGATTACAAGAGTTTTGGTTCGTAATGATGATTCACAACCATAATCACGTTCTCCATTGTGTACAGACAATCTACAAGTGGACTGACTCCAGAAACCTCCCCATGTCACAGTAGCAACATCAGTGCCGTTCCTTTGAAATATTGCTCTTTTATAAGCCAATCCACTACCAGGTCTCTGGCAACGTAATCGAAATACAGAATTCTCTTCAGCTATTTCAGGAATCCCGTAAAGATTGAGATATTGTCCATCCACTGAAATTTAAATTGTTATTTATGTTAGAGGAATGTTTGTTGACCGAATGGTTAGCGCGTGCGCGTTGTATCGTAAGGTCTGCCATTGAGTCAGTTGGCGTGGTTTAGATTCTTCTCTTGTACGTGACAAGGAGTAGGGTCGCCTGTCCATGGTCGTGGGTTTTCACCGGTTCCTCAGAGTTCCCCCACTGCTAACGACTCCTACGTACAGGGGAATTATTGAAATAAAATTGAACCATATGTTAGTCCCTCTTTACGCATGAGATGACTATTCGATGAATAAACCTTCTCTCATCCCCTCTATCACATCGAACCATTAGTAATGTATTCTACAATCTCAGGGATGATGTCATGTAGCTGGAGTAAATAACCCGGGCATCAAATTGTCTTGATCCGTCCAATGTAGGTATTAGCGACATCGTAGACTTACCGATTATAGAATGGAAATGTAGATTTTCGCGACAGCATAGATTTGCTGCCTATAAGATGGAAATTTAGATTTTCACTGACAGTTATTGAAATACAGGTTTTTGCGACATTATAGATTTACCGCCTGCAAGATTGCAATGTTTTAGCGACATCGTAGATTTAACGCCTGTTTTTAGACATCATAGATTTACCGTCTATAAGATAGAAATGCCCGTTTTTAGCGACATCGTAGATTTACAGTCTATAAGATAGAAATGTCCATTTAGGGACATCATAGAATTACCACCAACTATAACATGGAAATGTAGATTTTAGTCTTTAATTACCATATCATCACACGATGACTAATTACCATTTCATCACACAATGACTTCTTGTCATCACTACCCACGAGGTTTTACAAATTCCAGGATAGATTATAGGTCGATCAGAAAGTAATACCATTTCATTATTGTCAAGTTAAAACGCCCACACAGCAGCTATATATTAAATGCAGCTTATAAGAAAGGAAACCTTGCATACGGAGCCAATTTAATTAGGATGTAGGAAATCTAATCTCTAGGGTTCATACTCTTTTGACCCATGACTTTAAACCGAATTAGAAAAAAATATCGACCGATGACCCTAATGCTTCAAACCAAATATGAAAAAAATCCAGTACAAACTATACCCTTGGGTTCAAAATGTATTTTTGAGCGGGTTTAACGTCCACCTGCATTCTGTATCGCATTCAATAGGTTTTTGACAAAGGTGGTGTGGTGTGTATGTGTGGTTTGGGTGGGGGGTGGGTAACTCAGGAAGTTACAGAACGCTGAAACTCGATAATGTTTGTCCTCTCATAACTAATATGCTTCACACCAAACAATGTAAAATAAAACCTAGTCTCTACCGCGTTCACAAACCAATTGTTTTGACCGACGGGCCTACATAAAAAAGAAAAAGAAATAAGCAAAGAATAAGCAAATTGATCATAATTTAAACCACTATCATTTTATCGGTAAATGGCTTTGTAACAATATACATATATTATTAATCCGTGTTTATTAGATCAGTGGGGGGGGGGGGCAGATCAGTAGGAGGTTACACTCCATTACATTTCGTTATTTATAGCGTAGTTAGATCAGTGGGGGCAGATCAGTAAAACGTTACACCTCATTACATTTCGTTATTTATAGAGTAATACAGTTCATCGCGTGCATTTTGCATACCGATAGTTCATTGGCCAATCACGCTATTTTACCGACATTTCGCCTAATAGTTTGGATGCAGCTATGGCGGGTGTGGCGCCAGGCAGGGTAAGCTTACTCTTCCGGACACCTGTTACCACTGTTTGTCGTGTATTTTGTACACGAGGAGCAGTCCATTTGCTGATTACACTATTTTGCTTGAATACACTATTTTGCCTATAACGTTTTTTAGGACTTCGAATTCTGTCTTATGGTTTGGATTGTTCGTACTTGGTTTTATTTTATTATGTTATTTATAGTAAATAAATATATTTATTTATAATATATAAATATATTGCATTTATAGTAAATAAATAACACATAACAACTATATGTAAGAGACAATTGATTGATAAAAATCTTTTGTATTTACCTGTATTTTCTTATGTGGTCATTACGCAGGTGTAACGTGCATTAACTTATGTTCTTACAACATGGTTTAAGATACCGAGTATGAACCTAGAAATACTGTATAATATATTTATATGGTATGCATGAAGTGAAGGAAATAAACTATTAACTAGCTATTTACTTCCTTAATTTAATATACTATATACGCATTTGGGTGTTTATCTAGCATACTGCTACTTTTAATATGTCAACTGCATGTGTTTATCTATCATATTGGTACTTGTAGTAAAATATGTCGACAACATTATGTTTATCTATCATATTGGTACTTTTAGTAAAATATGTCAACTACATGTGTTTATCTAACATACTGATACTGTAAATAGTATATGTGGACTACATGTGATATCTGGGCTATGAGAGTACTGACTGTCATAAAAGACATGTCAGTTGGCACAGTCAATTATTGATATACCCACAAGCAGTGGCGTAGCCGTCAAATATATATTGGGGGGGGGGGGGGGGTTCGCAAATGAAATTACATAAAATGTTGACAATTTGTGACGCCGCAGCCGATGTAGCTCGGTACGGAGAGTGTAGAAGGGTAACCCTCCCACTGGGGGGGGGGGGGCACCCCATAAAATTCAGTCTTATGTAAACACTGTTTTGGCATATTTTACGGGGTTAAAGTAAAACATCAAACAAATATATTGGGATATGTACAGGTTTTATACAGATAGAAACTTAACTAATCCTAATAATTGTTGTAAATAAATAGGAGTTAGGGCCTTCTATGTTATTTTTTTTTTTCGGGGGGGGGGGTCGGACAAGAACTATAAAAAGACATTCCAGTTCGTACAGTGTATAAGAACTATAACAATATATTCCAGTTCGTACAGTGTATAAGAACTATAACAATATATTCCAGTTCGTACAGTGTATAATTGATAACCCACACAAATTATAAACATACCAGTTCGTACAGTGTACTATTAACAGTGTACAAGAACTATTAAAAAACATACCGGCTCGTACAGTGATTAATTGATATACCCACAAGAACTATAAAAACACAAACTAGTTCGTTGATAGTTCTTGAAACGTATAAAAAAGACTGACTTACCGTAATGTTTGGTCATTATCAACAGTACCGTGGTTAAGATAATATATTTCATTGTAAAGATTAACTCGTCTTTGTTATAACCACCACTTATCAATGCAATATGAAGCCTGTTGAATCATGTCATCTCTGTTTCAAATATTACTTCCTGGTTTAAAGGTCTTTGAATTGTTAACTCACACAAATTATTTAAAGGGGATCGGTCTTTATTGACCATTTAATATAAGTTCAACAATGTGAACAATTTTAAGATTTATCCTCATAACTGATATGTTGAAAGCAGAACAAACTAACACAAGCAATATAAATCAAACAATATTAGGACATTACAGATTTAAAGTTATTTTTTTTTTAATCGTCTTTCTTTAGACAAAATGACGTCATAACCATTCGAAAAGATACATAGAGGATATTTGTCGTTTTGTGGTGAATAACATATTTTATTTCATCGAGAAGCCAGAAAACTTATATTTTCACGAATGCGTATGAAAATATAAACGTTTTCTTGCTTAGAGATGAAATAAAATATGTTATTCACCACAAAACGACAAATGTTCTATTTATTTTATGATTTTACAAATCATTTTAGGTAAAAACAACATGGACTACTGCTAGCCAGTGGAATAACACTTTTATTTCACTGATAAAACGAGGTATTCCACTACTGATCATAAAATAAATGTTATCATTTAAGCCCTTGCTTTCTTTTTCTTCATAAACGTCCCTGCGTTGCCGAATGTTATAGTGTTTCTTTGTATATATTTAATTATATAATTTTAGTTAAAGTAGCTGAATTGATATCTCACTAATCCTTTAAGTCTTTTTACTGTATGAGTTTATACGTAATGTAAAAATATATATACTCTTCAAAAAATGTAGGGGATATTCAATACAATACAAAACTGCGGAAATGCACTGCTGTTTTTTATTAGAGGTAACCAGTGTATGTTAATAACAGGTCAATTGCCTACACATCAACATAAACAGTTTATATGGCCCCATTTCACTCGCAATGAGATACATCGTCAAAAGTGAAATTGGACGTTTTTGATTTTTGTCTTAATAATGAGTAATTGCTCCACCAATCCTCAGCAATTCGTCTTGGCATGCTCCTAATCAACATTCCAATCACGATTTGGGGCAATTTGACACACTCCTCTTGCAGTGCCACGTCCAATTCTTGCAGTGTTGTCGGTTGACGTTGACGCTGACGAACACGTCTCCCGATCAAATTAAACGTAACACACTAAAGCAAGGATACGCTAAACAGTAACTCTTATGCAAGAACCGATAGGAAAGCAAACATGGAAAGATAAACCAGCACGCGGCAGTTTTCATCAACCCTTCCCTGAAGTGTCAAATTTGACAATGAACCCCCTCCCATGTACAGCTCAGTAGTTCTGTTGGGAAGATAAGTTCTTCATCTGTGAACATACTCTCAAAGCATGTCAAGTGTCCATGACTATTTATCATATCACAACCTGCATAGGTATTTTCATTTCAAAATCCCTTACTTTTTTGAAGAGTTATTTTACGTTATTATAGTTAACATGCTATGCTCACATTGTCTTCTGTGTTTAAACATCTGTTTCCTATGTACAATTTAACATTTCTGATAAAATATTATTATATAATTATTTTAATCCTAAGCTTGTATAGATGTTCTATATTCTACTGTAACTTTAGTCTGGTGATCAGCTCGTTATTGTGGCCATTAGCCAGTTTTGGACACTCGTTTATTCAAAGTACAATTTTAATTATTTATTCCGAGTTATTCAAATTAGCTACAACCCCCCAGAAAACAGCACTAAAACTTGTACGTTTTAAAATGCCGTAATAGATGAAATACTTTTAACTCACACCGAATTTTCAAAAGTTTTATTTCAAGCTGCAAAATTGGAAGTGCGAAATTTAAGAAACAACAGCACCACCTCCGGTCCGTTAGTTTTATTATTGTAAGAGTAAATACCAGCTTTTTGACAGGTATATCGGACATTCAATCAATGAGAGAGAGAGAGAGAGAGAGAGAGAGAGAGAGAGCGCAACATAAACTAGGTCTTTTCGGGATTAACTTGTGTTACAGGTGTACGATCGAAACCACGCCACTTGCCTCAATGACAGACCTTATGATCGAAATCGCATGTGTTAAACGATTCGGGCCCCGGACTATTTATACGCTTTCTAGATTAACAGCTACACCAGTCGTTGATGAATGGCACTAGATGTTTTCCCATACCGTGACTAGCTCGCTAGATCACTAATCACACGTATGACTGTTGGAGTCTGGCCGTGTGACGAATACTTTGGTCATAGTATAACACACTTTAGTCCAGATCTAATTGGTCCATATCAATGACTGTCCGAGCTGATTCCTTTATCCAGTTTTGGAAAAAAAATCATTTCAGCTGTATAGTCCACTATTTTACCATGGTGTTTTATATTTTTATTTGTCTTACGGGTGGAGGGGGGCGTGGATGGCCGAATAAGGTCTGTCATTGAGTCAACTGGCGTGGTTTCGAATCCACGGCTGTACGTGACAAGGAGTAGGATCGCCTGTTCAGCCTCGTGGGGTTTCTCTGATTTCCTAAAGACACCTACGCGCAAGCGAATTATTGAAATAAAATTGAACCATATGTTGGTCCCGAAATGACATAGTCTGTGTCGAGTGGACGTTAAACCACATTTCTCTCGCCCTCTAATTTGTCTTAGGTTAGAAATAAATTAGGATTAAATTCATTTACGAACAGTCAGTGAAATGTTCAAATGAGGTCAGAGTAGTGAAGCAGCCTGTTAAACTTTTATTGCTATTGTTTCCGCCATGTTAAATGAAATCGCAATACTAGAACTATTAGAACAGGATTTAAACAGTTGATACGTCACTATTATAGGATATAATAATACATGTACGTATATCATATACCAACACTGTATTACTATACGATATTATATATATATATACAATGACATTATTTATGAATAGCTCACAGACGATCAAAAAGTACTTTAAATTTTGAAATTTATTAAACCAGTGTTGAAATCAGTTTGTGGAGACATACCGTTATCTTTTATCAAACTGGTGTCAACATATTTTTCAGTGTTCATGCTTCTTGATATAGGTAACTAACAGAAAACATGTATACATGTGTTAATCTGTTGTATAAGGGTATACTTTAGGAGAAATGAGTGGGCGATAATCCAGGGATAGATGAAATTAATAAAATTAATTAGATTAATAACTCATTGTTTATTATTGACTATCAGGTCGAGGGACATATTTTTTTAATAAAATGGTTTTCCAATATTTCTTTTCGACATGTCATCGACTTTCATTTTATAAAACGGGGAAATTTCTTATTTTAATTGTACGTGTTGTGCGCATCTAAAGATGTGTCCATTTACAAATAAGGGCCCTTTTTTGTTACAATCCCATACATGTATGTAAGTTTTACATTGACTCAATATTAATCTAGGATATATAACGGATATTCAGTAAAAGGGACTCGTGCATGTAACTCCTTATTGTTGTTCTTCTGCTAAGGTTCCGCCTATTCAAATACGATTGACATGGCATGCCTATTCATTGAATGCAAATCGTTGAACGGACTGTGATATGATGTCACAATTTCAAAATGACTGTGATGACGCAGGGTTAAATTTCGTCATAGGCCACGAGATGTAAACATATTTAGGGCACGTGACCTATGACGAAATGAGCAGGCGTGGATGTGAAATAGATCTAACCGTCCATATAATACGCTCGTGCACTTTTTTTTAAAAACGTGCACTCATTTGATGACGATATCACCTCGGTGGAAGCGGACGTTAAATAAAGCTATTTCACACACATTAAATTAAGCCATAACACGTAGGATGTACTCTTATATAGAATTTCAAAAGTCAAGCCAGTCTATCCAGTCTAGGGATCGTCTAGAGATATGTAGTCCCTATTCCTCGAGGCCATTTGATGTATATTTATTATTTAGAGTAATACTAGTGTTATAGTAAATATTTTGATATACATTTATATAATTTTAAAAACGTGCACTCATTTGATGACGATATCACCTCGGTGGAAGCGGACGTTAAATAAAGCTATTTCACACACATTAAATTAAGCCATAACACGTAGGATGTACTATTATATAGAATTTCAAAAGTCAAGCCACCGCGGTTCTGTATTGTACCGTCACTTTATATTCCCAATTCTCCAAGACAAGCAAGGTTAAACCTTAAAGATATATTAGTTAAGAGTTTAATAAAGAGTTGGTCATTCTTGCTATAAATATTCAAAAATAGATGATGAAAAAAGAAAATATTGAAAATTCCATTCAAATTACTTCATTCTCAGTCAAGTTATCATTATTTGTAGTTTTGACAAGATGCGTGCACAGTGGTAACCAGGGCACTGGTATAATCGGGATTTAGCCTCGCTTTCCCGTTTTTAAATTAAATTTTTAAATGGCTAACCGTTTTAATCTAGTTAAAATCTCAAGTATCCGATGCCATCGAGAGTCGATTATGGCCTTGTTTTGTTAATAAATGTCTAATAGTTTATATAACATTTCAGGCTTGCATAGTGTATGTTTAATGAAGCTGAAATCTGGGAAAAACCCACACGAAACGGTGGATTTGATGGGCCCATGATCTGTTGATGTTCTTGTTAAACACTAAAACCATGACTTGACTCAAACTGCTGTACTTAAAATAACCAGTTCTCTATTCACCACACGAAACAAACATACAAACATATAGATATAAGTTACAACTCCGCTGCTTTGACAGGTAATTCTTACTATTTATTTTTCATGATAATAACTGCCAAAAATAACCGTTCATTGCGATTTATATGGTGATTTCCAGAATACCCGTAATTCGAAATAGGTTAACTGTCTTGTAGGTCTGGAGGGTTCAGTAATATAAGAGTCAAAAGTAAGATATTTCACCCAAACCAAGATCAAGCTTTTAAGTATATTTTGTGGTCGACATCCTCCTTAAATGTATCAGGACAGATATTAGTCCTTGCCCATGTGGTTATCCCTGAATGCTACCGTTTTTGTTTTTAATGTGTAGGTTATCTAT